CCTCATTAAGTTGCAAGTTAAAATTGCTTTTTTATACTAAAAACTTAACTCTTAAGCAATTACACAATTTACACAGAAAAAAGCACACACACACACTCTTTACAATAACTTCCGGTTGCCTGCACATAAACAAGCTTTTATACGTGTGACGAGGAAAACACAAAACACACACACACACCCAAAATGACAGTTATGCTTGTTGCTTGTTAATTGAATTACAATTTATGTGCCTGACAATTTTCACTCGTTCCGGAATTAATAGCTTTTGAATATTACTGCGTCTCTCTCCAACAACCCACAAGAAACCTCACTAAGTGGCAGGATGCTGTAGGTATATGTTAAATTTTAGGAGAATTTTTTAAATATTTAAAACATTGGTCTCTGTATATTTCACGCAGCGCTTGACAAAAAATATTGATGAAGCAACAGAGGAAAAAATGTGTACGTCATTGTCCATACAGAACGGATTAAGAGATTGGCTTAATATTTAACAATCTTTGGAAAAAAATTCTGATATTTTTTTAAAATAAATTACCTCAATACTTACTTTGTATACGAATATAGTATTTAAGAACCTTTAATAGTTAATATTAATAAAAATGGGAGAATTTTCAAGTAATCAGCTTATACATGCTGTATATAATACTGTAAATAATGCTAAACGGATGTAGTTAACGCAATATTGAATATGTTTACTAAATATGCTACGTAGCTTTATTTGGGGCTAACAGAAATAGACTTCAAAGAATTTTCATTTGTGAAGCTGGTCCATTTTTTTAAACAAATAACTAATTAATAAGGTTTATAAAGCATAGAATATATAATAGATTTTAACCTATGGCACCTATGTATTAAAGGTTTCTTTTTAGACACTTTTATCATCGATGATCGATTAGAATGTCCAGAGTTTTTATCAGCTTCAGTGCTTTCTGAGTATCGTCGCCAAATACTTTGTTTAACATTTTATCTATTTACTACACTTAATTCTGTTTTTAACATAAAATTTTATAAAAACTTTTTTAATCTACATATTGTCATACAAAAAATCTGCCAAACATATCAAGGACTATGTTTGTTTTGTTTATTTTCTTGGGAAGTACAGGCTAAGCGTTGCATGTTATTTATAAGTCCACTATTCGAAACGTACGTGCAACCAATACACAAAAAAGACTAGATTCAATTAGCAAGACACAGTGTGCACAAAATTAAAATTCTCGTTACTTTTGCATTACACCTCATATTGCCTCTAAAAGTGGGGTTCCAATCTGACCACTTACTCAGATTTAACGCCAGAGTTCATTTTTTAAGTGTGTATCTATATAAGTTATGAGTTGACAATATCTATATAATTTATGACATATATTTTAAGTAAAATTTGTCCATATAAATAAATTTTATGATATGATGGCTTTCGGAATTATTTTAGAATGCATTATATTTCATTATATACATAATCACCTCTACTATGTGAACTTGACAAATTTATCAAGTATTGACTATTACCGGGTAATTGTGACAACGATTAACACACTTAAAAATACTGCGAAAGATCATTTGAAAGATCTTTCGTATTCTGCAAGCAGGACTGAAATGAAGGATCTGTTATTAATCAGATCTTTCGATTATCAGCTGAGATTTTGTTTCTGTTTTTCATGTACAAACGGTTTTTGTATAAAATAAAATATATGAAAATTAAAATACACATTACTAATTAATTAATTAATTAAAATTTGTAAAAATATAACAATTATTTCTAACTTAATTTTTTTTTTGTGTTATGAATACAAACAACAATTTTAAACAAATAATACAAGATCAATTTACTTGTCAGTAGCATTTGTCAACTTGACAATTTATCAAGAAAGGCGTTTTTTATTTATAGCACAGTAGACTAAAACCTAGACAAATTGTCAACCTTGACAAATAAGCTAGATGGTTAATTTTTTCAAGAAGTTTTGTTGAAGAAACATCGATTCTTATATATATGAACCTCTCTATAGCGAAGCTCTCTATGAAGAACCTCTCTATAGTGAATTCGTCTCTATAACGAAGTTTTATCAGGCACGCAAATGTACATAATTCTCAGTCAAATGCCAAAAAAAAAAAATACAAACAAAAAAAATTTTGTTCAACGAACTTTTTTGCAGGCACCTATGACTTCGTTATAGAGAGGTTTGACTGTACATATTTTTATATTATATAGCATTATATGTAGACAAAAAATAAAAATTAAGAAAATAAACCAAAATTAGGAAAATCATTAAAAATTAAGAAATCAAATGAAAACTAGGGAAATATATATAATAACAAAGTTAATGTACCTAAGTAGTAATTGCAATTCCAATGTGAATATAAAATTTAATGAAATTCCTCAAAATTGATTTCAAAAATTAAAGATTCTTTGTATATTTCTGTTTCACTGAGCTTTAAATATTTTCAATTCAATTTTTATTTAATAGAAAACAATTTATAAAATGAATTTTTGGCAGAATATTTGCCAGTATTGAGCACACTTTTGAAAGCAAATTAAATAAAGATCAAATCAATTTCAATTTTAAATTTTGTAACGTTCACTAAGTCATAACTATTGTCGCTACTAGAATTTCGCCCATTTCATCTCGAATAAAATCTACTGTCGAAAGTACTGCTTGCCGTTGTTCTTTGCCAGAGAAAATTACTTTTTGAATGGTATTCATGCTTATCAGCGGAATTCCATTGTAGAACCCAAGTCACAGTCACTCCACTAAATTGTCGCAGCAAGTCACAAAATATTATTGAAATTTATATTAGTTCGTTTGCATGTTTCATAATAATTTCTTATAAAAATTTTTTTCTTTTTTGGATTTTTTTTTCCTTGTGCAGAGCACATAACTGGGCAAATGCCGCCCCCGAAATAATTTAATTAAAGCGGAGCACGTCAATAAAACCTAAGGCGAAAATTCTTCAGCTACTTTCTTAACTGTTTTTAGCACAGAATTTGCCAGTTTCGCTTTTGGCTTATTGCAGAGTAGCTCACTCATAATAAACGATAAGAAGTAATAGTCGCGAAGGGGGTCGGGGCAGAGGGATGTTATTAGGCTGATAGTGAAATAAGCTGTTGTCAGTTGATAACAATCAGAAGTCGAAATTGGTAAGGCGCACATAAATGTTACGAATAGAAAAAAAAGGAAAATTATTATTTCGACTAATTTCGGTGGCTTTATGGATGCATTTTTTATCTAAACAGACTTTTGGAGGATTAACTTGTGTTCTTAATGAAGTAATACACACTTCAAGTGGATAAGTCTTAGATAAAAGTCGAAAGCGATTGTTTTAAATTTAATTAAGTTACCAGCACATATTTTGTGTAAAAGGTACAAGATCTAAAAGTAGATATACTAACTAGGTTAGTCATCAGATATTATATCTCTAACTGGTCTTTTCACTGTATCTAAGGTAGTATTGGAATATCGTATATCTTTAAATTAGGTGTCATTGCATTTACTGCTGATTCTGTAATGTCTTTCTGCTCGAAGAATCATTAATGCCAGTTTTGAGCCAATAAATTAGTTGAAAGTAACGCACAGCTTTGGATTTAAGCGTGATTCTGTAATGTCTTTCTGCTCAAAGAATCATTACCGCCAGTTTTGAGCCAATAATTTATTTAGAAGTACCACACAGCCTCACATTAGATGTGGGTATTTCTATAATTTTAATTAAAATGTTTATAAGTATAGAATATTTTAAATTGAAAAATCAAAAATGAAATGTAAAGCAAACTTGCCAAACTATACATATAATATGACCCACCTACAATTGTCTGTCCATCACAACAATCGCATTAGACGCGGTTATCACTTCAGTTATAGTTAAACTGGCTATAAGTGCAGGTTAATTTTCATTAACGTACTGCAGATAACAGAAAGATTTGTCCAACGTTACGTATAATATGGTCCACCGACAAACAGAGAAAAACTGAGCAACTGATAAGGCTTGCTCTCCATTCGGCCAATTAGAGACTGCAATAACTATGTTCGTAGCAATGTATCATAAGAAGAAAACTGAGCAAATGATATGTCTTGCTCTCCATTCGGCCAATTAGAGACTGCAATAACTATATACGTAGCAATGTATCAGAAGGAGAAAAAGAAAGCGTTGCTTATCGCTTCGTCACGGAACAAAACTTACCAGAAAAAGATATACACTGTAGAGTCTGTATTCTTCCGCAAATAGCTATCTTATATCACTAGTAGAGGCAGTTCTTGCTTGTTTCCTGAACCGAAATAGCGGTACCCTTATCTAAACGCCTTAAGAGAGTCAGTTTGCCTTTATAAACTAAATTATCACAATATACGCATTTTCAAGACATTTTTAATCAAATATCATATTGATTCATAGTTTTCAGAGTTTGACTAAGACTTTGAGTTTTGAGTTTTTTCTAAAATTTGAGCTCAGCTTCATATATTTGTATTAATTTTAAACTGCGTTCCTGTAGTTGTTTTATTAAATATGTTTTATGTGGTGCTAACAGTAGGGCTACTATAAGTTATTGCAGAAATTATAATGAAAATTGACACAGACGTCAATAACAGCACTGCCAACCAAAAAAAAAATTAATTGCCAGTATCGAAAAACCCATGTATTTAAAATTAAAAATTTATTTTTATAATTTTATCATAATAGTAATAATTAAAACATTACTTAAATAATTGATTCATAGTTTTTACAGTTTTTAAACAGTCTTAAAAGTTTTAAAAGTTTTCTTATTTATTTCTTATTTCTTAATAGTATTAATCGAATAATTACTATTTGATGAAGTTTTTATTTCATCATATTTTTAGTAATTGTACAAATGTCTAAAATGTGTAGGTATTCGAAAAATTTAATAAAATTGCCTTAAACTAAGTAGGCAGGTCATGCTTAAACACACATAATTCAAATCTATACAACCATTTTGTAGTTTTGTACAGATAGCAGTTAGCTATGATTTAGAATCAAATATTATTTAAAATAAAAAAAAAACTTGATTCAAAATTATTTTTTTTTACGAAGCTTATTACCAAATTTCAAGCAATTCTGTTTTTATTTTTTAACTGATTTTACAATGTCTGGAAGAACTATATTTCTTGGCAAGAGCTCAGAGAGCAATCCCATTTGTATTGAAGTTAGTACCGAATTTGCTGATACCCTGGCAAAAAAGGTAGCTGAACATGTTATAATGGAAATATTTTCCATTACAAGGCATAACGAAGAACTTATGTCTGAAGATGTTAAAAACATAACGGCTAATGGACTTGACAAAATGGCATTATGTGGTAACACCGTGACAAATGGTACTGCCTGCAAATCTATGATTACCACAGACTGTTATGTGGATTCCAATCGTATTAAATCGGCTGCTTCTAATCCGTACTTAAATTTTATTCACGATTTTGAAAAACGTAACAATTGCAGATTATCAGAAGACAATTTACCACAAGTACTTGGCGAATGGGATGAACTAAATGATGATAGAAAGTTAGCCTATATAAAGGAGGTAAGTAAATTTATTGGCAAATAAATATTTTTAATATATATTTTATTTATAACGGTTTTAAGGCGTTTTTGAAAAAGTTGATGGGAAACAAAGAAATTCCTAAGAAACCTATCAATTCTAATGAATCTACACCAAATGTAGATGATGCAGAACTTTTTACGAGTAAGGCAACACTACCTAAACGTCAGCGTAAAGTTCCAAAAGGTAGACGTAAAACACCTAAAAAGCGCAAAGCAGGAAAGAAGGTTGCTGGACGTCGTAAGTCAGCTCGTGGTAAAGGTCGCTAGCTTCAAACAATAGTAAACTTAAGCTCTTTGATCAAAAAAGAAGAATTTCAATTGTTGAAATCACTATGATCGACTTTTAATTCATCAACAGGAGCTTTAAAAATTCAAAAAGAAATAATAAGAACAACTATTTTATAAGAATTATTTCTTAAGTTCAAAAAATCTGTTTTATGGACTTAATAAATATTTTAAGTTTAAATAGCAGAGATTTATGTGAAAAGGAAAGAAAATGATTTATGAAATAAATATATTTTATTATAATATTTTATAGATTATAATTTAATCTATTGTATTAAATTCTATAATTGTAAAGGTACGTTTTGGATATTATTTTTTAATTGTCAAAAAAAAAATAATGTAATGTTTATTTTTAATTTTAGTAAACATGGAGTGATGATGGTCCTAAATCATATATTATTACTTCATTCATTACAAAGAAACAACGAACTATTGATAACTATTTTGGACTTCAAGTTGCATATTATAATTTTATTAATACGCTTTGGAGGAAAATGATTTATTAATTAACTTTGTGTTTTTTTTTTATTTAAAAAAAGTAAGCAAATTTTTCATATTACTTTAAAATTATTATAACATACACATATTTCATCAATTTTATCAATATTAACAAAATTATAATCTAAATTCAATTTTAGTAAAAAATATATACATGCATTCATACAAAGATGGTCTGGAGGAACAAACCTCAACTATTCAAAACAATTCGGCTAAAGAACTATATGGTTAATATAAATGAAAACTATTTGTAACGTAAGGACATTGAGCTAATGTAATTTAAAAACTTTATCATATGTACATCACATATTATATATATAAATTTAATATATATATTATAGTCTACCAATACAAAAGTAAGTATAGTTTTAATAATACTTTTAAATTACACTAACAAATGAATTTCCAAACAGTGAATCAATGAGTTTAATAAATATTATAAATATAGTCTTAATAAATATAGTCTACCAATACAAAAGTAAGTATTGGTTTAATTAATACTTTTAAATTACACTAACAAATGAGTTTCCAAGCAGTGATGGACAACGAAAAACAAAAATCAACAGAAAAAACCACTAATTGGAAACAAAACTACTAATTGGAAATAATTCCTAAAACCTTTCAAAACTATTAATGGCCTTGGATAAGTTATATTGTTGTACTAAAACTATATAATAACAAAAGTTTATTTAACAAGTTAAAGAAAATTATTGCTTAAAAATGATTAAAAATTGTAATTTATTTTTTAAGACTTTAATTTTAACTCAACTTCACAGAATTATATTTATTTTTTTAATAAACAAGATTAATGTATAAAAATTATATGCAGATAAATAAACCAGTTGATGTTTTCAAAAGATCACTGTATGGTCTATCCAAACAGACTAAGCTCGTTTTAATTTTCAAAAGCATGGTAAATGCGATTAGTTATTGTTTCTAATTTGACAGGCATGAATTCTAAGCCTGACACTTGCAGTTCAACAAATTATATACGAACTATAAACGAATTAAATAGAAATTCGAATACTTCTCACAATCACTGGTGATAAGCGTTGTATAGTTAGCCAAATTTTAATAAATTTATCAAACTTTTGTTCTTGTTTTTTCATTAGTGTATTGTTTGTTTTTTCATTAATTCATTGTTTCTTCGAACTCTTCAAGTTCTAAGCCTGGCACTTGCAGTCCCATAAATTATATACGAACTATAAACTAATTAAATATAAATTCGAATATTTCCCTCGATCACTGATGATGAGTACTTGAATATACTTAAAACAGAAAAATATCAATAAATTAATCAAACTTTTCTTCTTGTTTCTTCATTACTGCATTGTTCCTTCGAAACTTTCTAGTTTCTTTTCGTCATAAGACTGTAACGACACTTTTTTGGGGTGCGTTCAAAAATATATAATTTTGCTGGGGTATCCTCAGCCGTCGTACAGGGTCGTACAATAAAGTTTATATTCGCTGGGACAGAGTTTTGATTGATAATAGAAAAAGAAACATACTTTTGTAATATATTGTTAAATAATTTATTTACTTCAAAAAAATAAGTATCAAACAAAATACATTTATAATTCAAATAAATCTTTATATATAAAAAAGAAGTATATTTAAAAATATATTTTTCACAACGATAAAAATAATTATTATTCCCGCACGTGTTTATATCATAGCGGTGAACTTATGTCACCTGCATACACGAATTATATGCTTCCAATCACACGAGATCCCTGTTGTAAAAGATGATGATGCTTCTGCTGATTTGGTTAATGTGTTGAGAAGACTCCTGGCAAGATCACGTATTGTGCTGGGTTTCTCTTCTACGTTCATAAATGACGGATGCTCTACGGTTAAAAAATAATAAAAATAATAATTTAATAATTTGGCCAAATGAGCCAGGTTTATAATACTTTGGCTGAATAGGACAGGTTTTTGGTTTAATGAACCAGAAGTCATTACTTTCAAAGTGAAATTCCAAGTCCTCGATCATATCAAATGCGCGTCCTTTTATACAGAATATGCCAGAGCTTTGCTCTTTCTGCTGGAACTGGAATTTATCACTTCATCAGACTAAACAATAATTGACCTCAGATCTACATACCTTCTCGACGAGTCTGTAACCATTCTGGGATATCGAGATATTGAATTTATATATCGAATTTTTATTTAACTTATATTAACAATTTTGTTTACATTCATGTAATGTTAACATAAATTTAACATCAGTTCTGTTATTTCAATGTTACGATTATTGATAATAACATAAAGAGAAAATTATGTTTACCCGCATTTTAACAATTTGGCGACAAATGTTAAATATGTTTTCAAAGCGCATGTCACAAACAGTTAACAGTTAACAAATGTTCCCACTTTTATATCGTAGCATTTGCTTGAAAAGTCCTTCAC